AGGGAGCGGGTGAGAGCCCCGGGGAGATCCCTGCGGGCAGTGGGGGGGCCCGGCTCCCCGCGGCCCCTGGCCACGAGTGGGAACGTGGCAGCTTCAGCCACCATCACCCTAAGCGAGTCGGGGCGGGGGCTCCCGGGCCTCTCCTCCATCCAGCCCTGGGCTTTCCTGCCCTTTGCTGTTTCCCGAGGACCCCTCCTGTGCTCCCAGCCCACCCATGGCCACACTCGGCAAACACCCCCTCTGTAAAAATGTCTCATAAGCGGCCGCAAACTCTCGCTGCCGCTGGATGGGGGCCAGGGCTCTGCTGGAAAATTGGCTGAAACGTGTGTTTTCCTCACAAATATTCCCTCCCCTCCCGAGCCACTGGCAGCCTGGCTGTGCCACTGAGCTGCCTCCTCCTGCGCGTCCCCCTCGCCCACGCCAGGGCAAGAGTCTGCTCAGAGGCAAAGGCACCAGCAGAGACTAAAGACTGAGCAAAGTTCAGTGGTGCTGCCCCTGGTTTAGATCTGAGCCACAGGCAGGGGAAGGGAGCGCAGCGGGGATTAAAAAGCAAGTTTTCTTTTTTTTTTAATGTTTTCCTCTTTCTTTTTTTTTTTTTTTAAAAAAAAGGAATCTATTTCAGGACCAGGGGTGATTCATAGTTTCACGTTTCAGGCGTAGGGCAGATGGAAAGGCCTCCCGGGAGCCCCTCTCTGTGGGGCTGGCCTCCTGCCTGGGACGCTGTCCTCTCCCTGCCACCAATTCTCCCACAAAGGAGAAGGACGGACACCAAGGGCAGCAGCAGGCTGGGGACACCACACAAGCAGCATGCTCGCACATCCCCTGCTGCTTCCCACCCTGCTGCCTGCCATGGCATGGCCCAGCATGGCACAGCTACCGACCCCCTTACTGACCCCCCTCACCCAGCCCCAAAGACGCCTTTGGGTGCCCACCTTCTTCCTACACCCCAGCTTGGCTTGGGAACCCTTGATGAAGGGGGATGCTTCTCTTTCCTGCCTCTCCCCTGCTGCTCTGCACCAAACCTGGGTTAACCAGGGCAGGAGCATTGTCCCGAGCTCAAGAGAGCCCAAAGCGAAGGCTGACAGGGGGGTGAGCTGCTCCTTACATTTCAGTGGGTTGTTAAACCAGAACCCAAAACAGCCCCTGGCTGCTGCTGTCCTGTGGAGACCAAAGCCCGCCCTGCCTGTGGCAGAGCAGTGGCTGCCCTCCTCCCCTCTGCTTTACTTAGCTGTTCTCCATGAGAAAATGAACCCCCACACATCAGGGTGGCTGCTCTGGCCCTGCGGGTTGCAGGCACCGTCCCCTTGGGGCTGGTGGCAGGTGGAGGGACTTGGGGCTCATGGGAGATGGGCGACGGGGCTGGAGGAGGAGGGGGCAGTGGTAGGACCACCATCCATCTCCGCATGCCCTGGGGTCCAGCCATGCCACTCACCAGTGTTGCCCTGGGGCTGGGAGCTGGCTCAGCACTGGCACTCAGGACTCTCCTTCCTCCCTCCCTTCGTTTCCCAGCACCTCGTCGTGGCCCCCCTTGGCCTCTCCTCCCACCCTCCAGCGCGGCTGCATTTTTCTGGGTTTGAGCTCATTCTTTCCACTCCCCTCTGCTGGCTGCCAACTTTCCATCCTGTCGTCCCCCCCCCGCCTCCTGCCACGGGGAAATGCTGGCTGCAGCTGCGGGAGGGACCGACAGCAGCAAGGAGCCCCTGTCCTCAGTGTGCAGCCCCTGTCCCTGGTGTGGCTGATGCTGTGTGAACTGCAGCATCGCATCCGGCAGCATCAGGAACTGGGGTGTGGGGAGATCCAGGGCAGGGCCCCGGCAGAGCAGCTGGAGCCAGATCAGTATCAAGGAGAGCACAGCAATGCCACAGTCACCAATGGTTTGGGGAGGCACTGAGGAGCATGGAGAAAAGCCTGAGCAGGCTTCCCCTCTCCTGGAGACAGAACCCATAGGGAGAAGTCCTCGCTGGGATTTGCACCTGTGGAGAGACTGTTCTCCCACAGGGATGCGGTGCTGCCCCATCCCAGTGTTCCCTTTGCTCTGGTGACCCCATCTCCAGCTGCATCACACTGGCCACGGCCAGCGGCTCCCCACGCTTGAGCTGCAGAGCCAGTGGAAACTCCTGACCTGACCCAGGGAGGGAGGGCACCGCTGATCCTCCCTGGCGCCGGGCCCAGGGCCGTTAAGCAGGCTACCCTGCGGTGTCCCGGCTGCTTGCTGGCAGTGCAGCCTGAAAACAACCGGCAGAGCCCACGCGGCTCCAGCATCGCCTCCCCGGGTGCTCAGGGTCACTCGCTGCTTGCTGCAGCCAAGCACGTCCCTTCCCAGCTGTGCCATGCTGCAGCCAGTGCCGTGCTGCTTGGCTCCTGCCTCCCTGCCCCTTCCTGGGCACTGGGAGCCACTGAGGACTCAGCTCCCTGCCCAGGCTGCAGCTTCCATGGTGCTTGGGGGCTTTAGACTGGCACCTCAACAGAGCTCAGCCCTTCTTAGAGGCTTTTCTGGAGCCGGACGGGACACAGGAGATGCAGGGGGGGCAGGGGCTTCTGCCATCTCAGGGAATGATGCCACAACCAGTGGGTGAGGAACATGGACTTCTGTCAAGAGTGGACAAAGGCTCTTCCTGCCTTGAGATGTTTTGTCTGGTGGTGCTTGGAGCAGGAGGCAGGTCCCTTGCCCCAGCTGTGAGCAATGAACTGGGCTTGAATCTGGCCAGGCAGCCCCAGTGCACAGCTCCCCACGGCAGGGACCCAGCAGAGACCAGCACCTCCCTGATGTGATTTATTCTGCAGATTGAGGGTTTTCCCCATTGCACCAGTAAAGGAAAACATCATTCCGAGGAGCGCTGGTGCCAGGGAGACGTGGCATAAAGCCCTGGCATGGAGAGGCCCGGGGTGCCAGGTGATGCTGTCTGTGCTCCCCAAGCCCCTTTCACCAGTCAGCTCCAGGAACATCCTTGAGGTGGACGCTGCTATGGTGCCCTCACCATGGCAGTCTCTGCCACCCTGCAAAGGACAGGAACCACGAGCGGGACCAGCCACACTCTCAGCAGCCTCTGGAGCTGCTCCAGCCCTGCAAGCAGCCCTGCACCAGGGCACAGCCACCCCTCACCTCTGGCTCCCCAGGAGCATCTGTAATCCAGGATCCCACCACCCCAAGCACAGGTGCCCATCCCACCCTCTGCTCCATGGGTGCAGCCCACAGGACCCGGCCCCACTTGTCCCCTCTCCTGGAGGGGGAGCGGCCGGATCCAGAGCACCCAGAGCAGCCCTCAGCACCCGTTCAAACAGCTCCACATCCTCAGCATCGCTCTGGCCCCATCTGGGGCTCTCCTTGCATCCTTGGAGCCGCCGGCCACACTACTGGCAGAGAGGAGAGTCCCCAGCCTGCGTGGGATGGGAAGGCAGTGGTTCTCAGAGCACGGACAGATCATGGCAGGACTTGGAACGGACTTTGAGGGCCACTTTGCAGGTGTTCCTGGCCACCAGCCTGTCGAGGAAGCGCCGGGCTCTCTTGGTGAGGCTCTCCTTGCGCTTCTGGCTGGGATTGGGGTGCATGCGAGCCTCTTTGCCCCCACGGCGCAGGCGGATCTGCCGCACCACTCCCTCGAAGAGCTCGGCCACGTTGTGCTGCAGAGCCGCCGACGTCTCAATGAACTTACAGTCAAACACCACGGCGCAGGCACGGCCCTCTGCAAGGGAAGGGCAGGGAGGAGGCATGGCCCTGCTGGCACCCCACGCGCCAGGGGACAGGCACTGCCACATGCGGGCCAGCAGCTGCACGTCCAGGGCCAAGGGGATTGTTGCAGGGAATGCAGTTGGGCAGGGAAGCCGGGCGCAGGGCCCCCCACCAGCCAGACCCACACCGCCACCGCTCACCTTCAACGGAGACCTCGCGGCACCGCACCAGGTCAGTTTTGTTCCCCACCAGGATGATGGGGATGTCCTCGGCCTGCCGCACGCGGCGCAGCTGGATGCGCAGCTCCGAGGCACTCTCAAAGCTGCCCCGGTCAGTGACGGAGTAGACGATGACATAGGCGTTCCCCACCTTCAGGCACTGGCTGCGGTGCCTGCTGTCCTCACCCTGCCACACAGAGAATGAGATGTTACTGCTCTGCAGGGGCTGCTGGCAACCCTGACCACTGCCGGGGGACAGCAGAGCACCCCAACACCGATGGGACCCGTCAGCATACCCCACCAGCCCCTGTATCATGGGGAACAGACATGTGGCTCCATTAATAAAATGCAGATTAAAAGCTCCTGATTTTGGGGGGTATTTGAGAGTTTCCTCCTCTATCAGCAATAAATTGGGGCTGTGGGCTCAGCTCAGCTCAGGGGGCTGAGGCTGCACCTCCCAGAGCCACCCTCAGCCACGCAACGCCAATGGTGTGGATGCAGTGCCCTGCGTGAAGCCAGCAGTGGTCCCTGCTGGGCAGGGTGGGATTAAGCAATAGTGGAAATAAAGGGCTGTTGTTGGGGCGTTATGGCGCTGAGGCACCTCCTGAGAGCACAGCCACACGTGCAAAATGCAGCCCCAGCCCAGGTGGGTGCTGTGCCTGCATTCATGGCCTGGGCACCGGTTCCATCCTTGCTCCCAGGGACAAGTTGCTGCCTGGTGGCACCCACAGGAACACCAAACCCTGGCATGGAGGTAGGCAAAGGGGTGTTCTGATGGAGGCAGTGACAGCAGTGCTGTCATTTCTTCCCAGGAGATGCCTCCGTGCACTGGACAGAAGGAATGCCCCATGCCAGGCTCTCAGGGCCAACACTCTGCCTGTTAAAGCATGTGCCCTGGCTGGCGGCACCGTCTCACGTGAATTTGCCCAGTTGGCTGCTTCAGCCCCATTCCCAAACTATTTCCATGCATTTCAAAGTGGGCTGGCACCACGCTCCTTCCCCAAAGCCCCTTCTTCCCCCACAGCCCACCTTCCCACCCACCCCTCTTGCGAGGGGCACTCTGTGCCCACACCACCACTCCCATGCTCATGGTGCTTCACCAGGAGAGCCCACACTGGCAAGAACATGGTGGGCAGCCTCTCACGAGGGTGAAAGGTGGGCAAAGATCCATCAGAGACGCAACCCCAGCCCCCGCCTTGCCCAGTGTGCATGTCCCACTCTGCATCGAGGGCAGCAGCGAGCCCTGGACATGGCTGGTAAAGCCCCAGGAAGCTTCATGGAGCTCAGAGGCCACAAAGCAATTGCTGTACCCATGCAATGTCCCCTGGGCACGTCCCAGCTCACTGGCCCTGCTTGCAACAAGGGCTCCCCGCAGCACCCAGCCCAGGCCCTGCCGTACCCGCTGCTCCGGCTCCCAGGTGTCCATCACCAGCAGCGTGGTCTCCTCACCATCCACAGACAGCGTGCGCTCGTACGCAGCCTCTGCAAGACACCGGGAGAGCCCAGTTGGCACGGCACTGCCTGGGCACTGAGACACAATCCCAGCACCGGGCTCCTCTCTGCCTCGCACACAAGTTTTTCCCATCACAGGGCCATGTACGCAGTTCGGACACACACTGCCTCCCCACCACCACCTCTGGGCCCCGCAGTGGACGATCCTACTGCAGAGGGGCCCCAAGCACCCCCCCCAGCCAGGCACCCACCTCCGTGCTGCTCCAGCAGGTCCCGCTCCTGGACGCCAGCGAAGAGGTTGGCCAGGCTGGTCTTGCCCACACCGGGGTCACCCAGCAGCACCACGCGGTACAGGGGATCCCAGGAGCTGGAGGAGCCTGAGGACTCAGAGGACCACCTTCCCCGGGGTGCTGCTGCCCTGCCACCCGGTTCGGACGTGGAGTGACCGAGCTGGGGGTGGCAGGGCTCGGCCTGGGACGTGGCACCCGGTACCCCCGGCCGCGGGAGAGGGGTGCTGGCCCTCCTCCGCAGCGGGCTCTTGCTCCCACGCTGCGTGTTCAGGGTCATCTGCGGCACCGAGGGCAGTGGGGCTGGGAAAAGCCGCCCCGAGGGGTCCCGGCTCCCTGCAGCCCCCTGCCGCGCCACTCCCGCTCTCGCTGCCGGTGCCCGTTCGAGTTGGCGGTAACTCGGCCACAACTTTCCCCGGGACAGACTCGCCGCCGCCCGGCCCGGGCTTTAAACCCCGGGAGGCGGAGCCTCTCGCAGCGCCCAGTCCCTCCTCCGCCGGACACACCCCCGCCCGCACCGGTCCCGGTCCTGGCCCGGGCCACCCTGTCCGGTCCCCGAGGTCCCCGCGGGGCTCCCGGTGCCGAGAAACGGCGAGTTCCCCCGGGGCGTGTCCCCTCGGTCCCGGGGAGCAGCGCGGGGGGCAGCGGTCGCACCGGGAGGCTGCGGGATGCGCTGCCTCGGGCGGGGATTCCGCCACGCTCCTGGTCCTGCGTGGGGTAGGGTCCCTCCGGTCCCCCCAGTCCCCCGGCCCCGACCCGGCTCCATCTCGCGGTGGCGCGGGGCAGCGCACGGTTCCGCCGCTTCGCCAAGTAAGGAGCGAGCACAGCCCGGGCCGGTCCTGCCCGGTGCCTGGTGCCCAGTGCCCAGTGGGGCTGTGCTTTGCCGGGACCTCGCAGCCCTGCTCGGCAGACGCCACAGTGCCATGCCAAGAGCCGGTGATGGGAAGCGTGGCTGGAGGTACGGGCAAGAACAGGAGCTAGTTTTATTTGAACCCATCGGTTGGCCTGAAGCCATGCGGGTGCTGTGGCACCAAACCACCTGACTACCGGCCCTGCGTGGGCACTGGTCTTACCCGGCGCTGGGATACCAGTCCGGCCCACATTGGGATGTGCTGGCAGGGATTCGTGGCACCAGGGCTAGTCCCAGGACACCCCTCATGGTCAGAGCACATCGATGCAGAGGCCCCCTTCAGCTTCAACCCCTCCAGTGTTACAGCGATGGCGTGAAGAGGATGGGTCAGGATGCAAGTGCAGGAGGGCTGGTGATGCGTCCCCGGGAGCTGTGGTTGCAGGGCTCACCCTGTGCTCCTTCCAAGGGACTGCAGCCTCGTGGCTGTGAGCACAGCACAGCCCACACGGACCAGGAATGACGGTAACACCTTTACTGCACCATATAACCACATCAGTCAGTCCCCAAGGCAGCTGAACAGGGCCGCACCGTGCACTCCCTCAGGCCTGTGAGCGGAGCCTGGCTGAGCGTCAGACGAGCGGCATCTCCTCAGCAGGGATGCTGAGGACCACCTCAGTATCTGGCATGCACCTGAGAAAGAAATGAGAATTAGGAGGGGCAAAGCAAAGAGTGGGAATATGCCGCTGTGCTTCAGCTGGTTTGGTGCGAGGAGGAGGAGAAACTCCTGCACGGCCAGGGCTGGAGGTGGGTGACTGCTTTTTGCAGCCCACCCAAAGCTCAGAGGTGTCCTATCCCCTGCACGGCAGCCCTGTCATCAGAAGGCACGGGGCGAGTGGAGGGAGGACTTTCTAGTGTCTGCTGTGCCACCTTCTCTGTGTCCCTGAGGCCCGGGACTGGTGTTCAGTGGGGAGGGCCCAGACACTTGCTTTGGGACTCAGGACAAAGCAAGCAGCTGGAGGAGCAGCAGGAAAAATCCTGTAAAACCAGATGAGGGTTGTGTCCACAGCCCCTGTTCAGCATGAACCAGAGCCCAGCCCGACCTCTAGCTCACCCCAGCACTATTTTGCTTTTCGGCTCACCCTTCATGGTCTACCCCGGTCACTAACCACTCTGCCTATGAAAGAAATCGGCTCCAAGCCTTAGCCCTGCTCCACGGCCCTGTCTTAGATCATGCTTGTGACTGAGCCCTCTGCAAGGCAGGCTCGGTGCTCGCTGGCCTTCCCAGAGAGGCAGAACCAGATGTAGCCCCTGGGGCTCTGAGAGGGAGAAGGAATGAAATTAGCCACCCCTCACTGTCAATCCTGTAAGACAAACAAAAGCGGAGAAAGCCCGCCAGAGCAGCCAGGTACATCTGCTTTCTCGCAGAGAGAGGACAAGCACAGTGAGCTGGGCTTGCTCAGAGCTGCGCTCATCCATCTCCGTCTCAGACCAGCACAAACTGTGCATCCAGAGTGACCGCAGCACAGGGCTTGAAGCTGCTGGTGAAATCCTCCCGGGGCTCCCTGAAGCAAGAGGATTTTTAAAGAGGGGAAACTGGTGGGAATGGATACGCAGGGGGTTACAGCTCCTCCGGGCTCCACATGCAGAGATCCAAGGAAGGCCCGCAAGAGTCCTGTGCTCCTACACACCCTTACGCTTCCAGGCTGAGCACAGCTCATGTTTGATTCTGCTCTTTCAGGAAGCAAATCCAGTGCCCGGAACCAAAGGGTTAATCAGAAAAAACGAAGAGCTGGTGAAGTCGTGTGAAAAGTTGCAGGGAGGTCAGTGGGAAAGGGCTGAGGGATGGCGGAGAGGGCTCTGGCACAGGCTCCCGCCTGTCAGGGCGGGTAAGCACCAAATGCCTGACTTGTGATGTTACAGAAACTTTCCACTTGGGCCTTCCTGCTATTTTTAACTCTTCTCCCAGCCACCCTCAGTAACCCCAGCCCCACCAGCTGTCGAGGCTAATTAATTCCCTTTTTTTATCATTTTTTTATCAGAAAAAAATTAAGTTGCACTAATCCATCACACAGCCTCTCTCATCTCCCCCCCGCCATCTCCTGACATATTCCAGGCTTTCCTCCCGCTTCGGCTTACGCCTCTGCAGTGCTGCAGCCATACCTGCTAAAACCCAGGCCCTAGAGTGGGAGATGAAGCCCCTCTTGTCATCCACACCACCATCAGTTTGCTGGGTGAGCATTCGCCCATCCCAAGGGATGATATCTTCATGCAAAATAACCCCTGTGTGCATGTGAGGTGTGGAGGAGCTGCGGGGCTGGCCCGCACCTGCAGTGGCAGTACCCGCTGGAAAGGAATGACTTCATTAATAGATGTCTCTGTGCCAAGAACAACTTGTATAGGCAGTTGATGTAAATAAATGCGTATATGCACGCTGTTCTGTACGCAACTTACGGGTTTCGGGCTACAGCATACTTGAGATTTAAACACATCTGACCCATTTTTTCTCAGGTTTGTACCCCTGGTCAGCAGACAGCACAGAAAACTAAGGCACCTCAGCAGCTCTAAATCATTTGTGATTTTTGTGATTTTTCCTGCCCTGGGCAGGACCCCGCTGCCACAGGACAAAGGGCAGCGTTACACCTTCAGTCTGCTGTGGATATGGTGGAAAATAGCTTGTCACAGCTGGCTGTTGGTGTACTTCAGCCCACAGACTTGGCCCATCTGGGTCTGTCCCTGGAAAGGAGAGCCCAGTCTTCCTGTGATCAAGCTGGCAGGGCTTTCTCCCCATCAACGCTAAGTGAGGATTCACCTTATGCTTTGTAATTCTTATATCCAGTATTGGCACAGTGCACACCGGTAAGCAGGAGCGGGGATTACCCACAACCTTCACTTGGGAAGTAATTAGCTACCAGAGAACAGGGGCAGGGAAATGGCAGTGAGAAAGATAACAAATTTTTGCTTTTTTGCTACCAGCCAATGCCGCTGACATATATTTTTTTTCATGTTAAGGAAATGGCAGCCCATCTTTGTTCCCACAGAGCGCTGGTGCCATTCACACAACCAGCAAGGCGGCTCTAGATGGGCAAGACTTGCCTCGACAGGGATGCTCCTCGTGAGCCTGCCCCCTTCTCTCAGTTTTGTTTCCCAACCACAAAGTGAAAACAAGAATAAACTAAGAGTCAGTGTAGGCACAAGGGCCTTGAAAAGCTCCGCTGGTCCTGACTATCCCCGGCTGCAGCCACTAATAATCTCCACTTGCAGGCTGCACAGAGGGAAGCCCAGGAAAGAGATGTGATGTGACCAAGGATTAGTATTAGAGTTGTGGCTAGTTCCTAGCTGCTCTTAGGCAAGACCACAAGATCCTGCAGCCATCTTCCCAAGCAGAACCCAGCATAACTGTGGGTTAATACCCCAGGCTGGGCGTAGGTTTAATAGTGACATCTATGGAAACAATGGGGTAAGGTTATTAGCACTCAGTGCCAAAGACTCTGCAGCCCAAGGCCACAGAGAAAGGGCTGTGCATGCCCACTGACCAGCCTTACTTCGGTCTGTGGAGAAGAACGTCAGCAAAGATCAGTTCTCTTGGGTCTCTTGCACTCTGGCGGAGTGTCTGGATGCTTCTCTTCAGCTCACCAATCTCTTCCTCCAGGTCCTTAATAATCTGAATGAATGACATTTCTAAGAGTTCTTGACTTTGCAGTAGAAGCAGGAATTAAAGTTTTAGGGATTTTGTAAACAGCAGAGCTAGAAAACATCCCTTCTGCAAGTAGGCCCCTAACAGGCTTCCCAAAATACCTGCTGGACTGCTTGGCCTTAGGATGTCCTAACAGCCCCCTGACTCCTGTGGAAATGGAAGGACACGTACCCCACTAAGGCAGACAAAATCCTCACGAAGGGCAAGGGCTGAGGGTGGCTGGCTCTGCTGCACTGCACTGATTCTTCCCCGGCTTGCTCACCTCCCTTTGCCTCAGTATTCCACGTCGCAAAATGTGATTGTTTATGACCATCTGCTTCAGGCCATCTTGGTGCAGCAACTTCTCCTGTGTGGGTGAAGAGAAGAAAACCAGCTGCAGAAACTCCCCGGTAATCACCAGCAGGAAATCCTGCCGCTGCCGGGTGCCAATGCTGGCCATGTCGTCCGGCATCACTCTTCAAGAAAATTATTTCTGCTCGAACAGGGTTTGAGTTCCAGCTCTAGAAAGAGACTGTTGTTGAGATCACATTGTACTGATGATGGAACAAGACTGAGGAACTCAAGAGATCCAGTTCAGTTTCCCAGGGAAAGCTTATTAATATTGCTTGGGTAACTTATATCCCCTGTGCTTACAAATTCACCTGTAAAAGGGTATAGCAGTTCTGCATCAGAGCAAGCTGTAAATGGAGTCAGTAATTAATATTTTCTTAGTGGTCTTCAAGCTACTAACCCAAGAAAAGTGCCAAG